ATAACCACCCCTACTCATGAGTCATGACCAAAAAATCAAAAAAATGTTAGCTATTACTATCCATTAGTTTGATTGTATGGGAAAATGTTATTCTATCACTTGAGCAATGTCCTTGGTTATTGTAATTAATATAAAAAAAATGTTAATTAATAGTGTTACACTTAACTAACACCTTACCAATGAAACTTGGAGGATCAAATTATTTAATTACTTCGTATATGCTTAATTAAGAGCATGGAACGAAGTCTTTCACTATATATTATGCATACGTGAGATGTTAACAACGTAAGAATGCGCTTGAAAAAAAATACGTTTGTTTTCTTAAAATCCCCAAGACTCTGAAAGAGAAATTAATTGACAATGATATCTTACAAAGTTACACAATTCAATTCCATGAAAGCAGAATAAGGCAGATAAAGAGCGTTTGGCTTTCTCAATGCAGGGGCGGAGCTAGAAGGGGACGAGTGGGGACACTTGTCCCCCCATTTTCAAAAAAAAAAATTAAAAAAAAAAAAATTTAAAAAAAAAAAAAATTTAAAAAAAAAAATGCAATTACAGATTTACAGTGCTCTGTTGCGAATTGCGATATTTGCCAGCCAAACCCTAAGTTTTTCAATTTTCAATTTCTCTCTCTTCGATTCGCCCTCGCCTGTCGCCTAGCCGGCTCGCCGTGACGCCGTCCACCGTTCGCCGGCAGTTCGCAGCAGTGACGAGGTTCAACAGCCGCCCTTGAGCCTTCGTCCTTCACTCCTTCGTGACTTCGTGTCTTCGTGACTTCGTCAATCGCCTAGCCGGCTCGCCGTGACGCCGTCCACCGTTCGCCGGCAGTTCGCAGCAGTGACGAGGTTCAACAGCCGCCCTTGAGCCTTCGTCCTTCGTGAGTTCGTGACTTCGTGTCTTCGTGACTTCGTCATATGCATAAGCATAACACATTTGCTGTAAATCTGGATTTCAATGGAGGTATGAATCAATGAATGTATGATTAATTGAATAATTGATTACTTGTTTTGTTGTTTAAATGTTTAATTGTTTAAATTTACAGTAAATCTGAAATTCTGAATTTCATATTTTTATTACTTGTTTAAATGTTTAATTGTTTATATTTTTATTGTGAATTTGTCATTTGTGGCCTTGTGGGTATTGATTATTGAATAATTTGAATTGATAAATGATTATTGATTTATATTTGTTTGATTGTTTCCCCTGTTAGAGTTTTTGGTTGTTTTTGTGAAATGTGAATTTAAATTATTAATTATTGTAAATTATTGAAATGTGTAGTTGAATTAGAAATTTAAAATCTTAGCCTCTTAGGTTTTGTTATTATGTAATGATGTGGATTGTGGTCTTGTGGAAATTGATATATAATTTTCAATTTAACTAGGAAATATCAAAAGATTCACCAAATTCAAACAAATCAAAGGCAACTAAACAACCCGATCTTCGACAATTCTTGTTTAAAAGAACGAGACTCAATGAAAATGAGTCCAATAACTCACCTTCAGTTAGCTCCCCTCAAAGTCAAGAAAATAGTATGGAAATGGGTGGTTCAAGTAATAGTAATGTACCATTAGAGGAAGATTTGGTGTATGATGTTGAACTTCTTCCTCATGATCCGGGAAAAAGAATAAACATTATGGATTACCCCGCAAATGAACGAAATGCTGTTAGGAGGGGTTATATTCTTAAAAAACCTTGCCAACCAAAAACTCATGTCTTCCCTACAAGACAAGTGTCTGGTTTGCGTCGCTTTAGTGTTCATTGGTTCAACAAATGGGATTGGCTTGAATATAGTATTGAAAAAGATGCTGCATTTTGTTTTGTATGTTACTTGTTCAAGAATGAAGTTGGTATTAAACCGGGGGGTGATGCATTTGTTGATGGAGGGTTTAGGGCATGGAATAAACCGGAAAGATTTGAGAAGCATGTTGGTGGAATTAAAAGTGCTCATAATCTTGCTTATGAGAAATATGTGAATTTAAGAGATGAAAAAAAGAAATCAATCTTGAATGTGATTGACAATGCAAGTGATGTGATTAAAAGTGAATATTTTATCCGCTTGAAAGCATCTTTATCTTGTTTAAGATTTCTTTTGGGGCAAGGTTTGGCATTTCGTGGACATGATGAAAGTGGGGAGTCATATAATAGGGGTAATTTCCTTGAGCTTTTGAAGTGGTTAGGAGAAAAGGTTGAGGAAGTAAGGATACATCCTTGAGTTTTTTTTTTGTTTTTATTTTTTGTTAAGCTTTTCGTAAGTTAAGCATTTTGTCCCCCCAAGTTGAAAATCCTGGCTCCGCCACTGTCTCAATGAAACCTAAATGATACTCCGTATCGTATAAATAACCTATTAATGTTTAGCAAACTTTACAATTAATTTGTGAAACTGCCAATAAATTTAAGGATCTGTTCACATTTACTAAACTGAGCTGAACAAAACTGATTGGGGCTAAACTGAATTGAACTGATTAGAACTGAAATGAATATTTTAAAAGAGAAGAAAATTAGGAGTTGAATTGAACTGAACTGATTGAAGCAGAACTGAACTGGAATTAAGCGGAAGTGAACAGTCCCTAAGTTTTTTTTTTTTTTTTTTTTTTTTTTTTGTATAATAGAGAATGACTATCCATAAGAGATATTTAGGGCTTGTTCTCTTCTGTTTATTTTTAGTTCAGTTCAGTTCTTAATATTTTTCTCTCATAAATTGTTCAGTTCAGTTCAGCTCAACTCAGTCAATTAGAACATGCCCTTAGGCAAGATAAAACTACATTGACAAAAACAACTTAAATATAAGAATCTACACTTTTGACATAAGAAACTTGTAAAAGTATACACTCAAGTACATGTTTGATAATTTCTCCTTCTCTTCTTTTTAAAAAATGTACTAAATGCTCCAAAGGAATGATCTTTCGGTTATAATGGAATATCTCTTTTTATTATTTGATTTGAAGTCCATGGATGAGATTGTTAGATGATTCTCAACTTCTCATAGTTTGAACATAACTAATAATTAAAGAACTATATATATACCTAGTTAAACGATGTGATTAGTCCAATATTAAGGAACCAATCAATAAGATTAGCATATACGGTCCATAGAATTTTCAAAACCAACAATAGTTGGCCTTGGCCACCTTATATTAAAATCATTAAAACTTGCGTGAAATGGGTCCCACTACCCACAAAAGGGCAAACATCTTTACCATACTAGACCATTGTTCTTATGAAACTTATTAGTGGAAAAATAATGAAGAAAATGACATCTTTATTTTATGTTATATGCATATATGATGGTAGTTTTTTGGTTGCCTCTTTCTTTGGCTAGTGATAATAATGGTCGGCGCAAACCCATGTGTGCCGCGTTGGACCGTCATCGATATCTCCCACTCCCAAACAAGCAAGCACAACTCACTTCAAACTATGGGAACAAAATACTTGCTATTTTATCATTATTTACTTGCGTGTAAATGCATTTACGTGTCAACTTTTTGAAGTTTGAATTTTTTTTAATAATCAATGGTGTGTAGACTGTAGAGTCTCTCTTTCTCTTCTTAACTTAAAGAGGATGGTGTTCAATGTATGTGTGTGTATGTCTAACATATTCCCATAATTCCATAAGTGATGTGTTTCATAAGTGTTTTTATCCGTAACTCATATGAATCACGCGTCACTTCATGTTTAATACTTTCTTTTATATGTGATCCTATTAGGAATTCAACGAGTCTATAAATTGTTGATGATGTAATGCTGACATAAAATTTGAATAAAATAAAATATTTTGGACACTAACAAATAAAGAAGTTTGAATTGTTGATTGAAGCATATTGTGATATGTAAACTTCTTAGATATAACATTATTTGTTCTACGTACTAATTCGGTGTATAAGTCAAGATCGAAATGTTAATGAGATGAGTTTAGATGCGGCTATTGGTCCCTCTTCTATATCCAACTAGACTTTCATATCCATTTCCACCACTAAAATGGGGCAGATGCGGGATAATAGATTTGTCTTCAATCTTTAATAAAACTCGCATCCATTGGCGTCTTTAAGCCAAATAAATCAGCTAGCTACTAACAATTGACTGTAATATAAAACAAGATTACTATCCAACAAATATGAATTCCATGTTACTAAGAAAAGGAAAACAAACTTGGTTTTTCTTTTGACATACCTACTTCTATTTCATCATGTCTTATGAAATATACAATAATATTCCCGTCTATATAATTCTAAATATATTTGTTAAAATATAGTAATTTTCTTACTCCATTCTACTTGTAATAACACTTTTATTGTGAGATTTTTTAATTTAGTAACTCTCTCTCCTCGATCTCACACCACTTCCTTCACCTCTTTTTCTTTTCTCTCCCAATAACAAAATTTTTGGACAATTATAAACACTAATTATGTATGAACTTGATTTTGACACCAAAAAACTGAAATAATTCGAAAATATAATATATCGTATCCAAATTGTCCCCATAAAATTATAAAAATTCCCTAAACAACAAAACTCTACAACAAGCTAACATAAAATGATCTCTAAAAGCAAAACAAAATCAAAATAACAATTTTTTTTTTGGCCAGATCATTGAACTTCAACTAACTCAATCTTTATACATACCAAATCTTACAAAAGAGTATACCAATTAATACGCAAACTTGATACTCAAATAGTCTAGTATTAATAAATCAATTAAAATTAAACATAACTATATGTATTTAATTAAACCAACTAAATAGCATGATAATATTAATTAACAACCGTAACCACCTAAAAATCTAGGCCATTACATGATAGAATTTGGCTTTTAATTTTATTTGGATATGTAAGAAGTCATCGTCAATGCTTACGTCACTCCATATATTTTCCAACAATTATTGACGTCATCCACGACCCACTCACAGTGTAAGTGACGCTATTTATGACGTCATTCTTACCCCACCTTCTATCCTATAGTTGACGTCCAACTCATCACCCTTTCTCTTCCTATAAAATTCTACCCTTTCCCACCAACCAAACTCCCCCTTTTCTCCACTATTTTTATTTTCCCTCATAATATTATTTCAAACTTTATATTATAATTCCAAATATTATTTATACATACACACATATTGTGTAATGCAAGAGGCATTGCCCTATAAGAGATGGGATGTACTCCCACCGGTACCGGTGGCGAGTACCTCCTCTGATAGTGGTGGTAATGTTGGGATTAACAATATGAATAATGGTAATACAATGGAGAGTTTGGTGAAGGAGAATCCGGTGATCGTGTTCGGAAAGCGAGGTTGTTGTATGTGTCATGTGGTAAGGAAATTGTTGCTTGGGTTAGGAGTTAATCCTCCTGTGTTTGAGATTGATAGTAGTAATGCTAATGAATCTCTTTTGATTAATTCTTTGTCAAAATTTGTAGTCAATAATAATAATAATAGTGTAAACACCTTGCAATTTCCTTTGGTGTTTGTGGGTGGTGAGCTTTTTGGTGGCCTAGAAAAAGTTATGGCTACTCATCTTTCCGGTGAATTGGTGCCTATTCTCAAACAAGCCGGCGCGTTATGGCTCTAAACCACTACTACATCCGCACGAGTTTAGCAATTTGAAGTATTATATCAGCGTGACAATTAATTCTATCTGAGAAAGTAGTTTTAATTTACAAAAATACTTTGGTTCTCTTTAAATATTTGTCTTTTTTCATATTACATGAGTTAATGATAAATATTTTGAACCAAATCAATGGGAGAATCAATTGATGTATGAGAAATTTTACAAGTGCTAGTTGTCATGATAACTTTTTACAAGTTTTTAATAGAAGGTAGATTTTCTTGTACATTATTATTATCATTATTCATGGTTGTGTATGTAGACCATAAAGAAAATGATGGTGTTTATTAATATTAAATGATTTTATTACATGAAATGAAAATAAAAAATTGAAGAATGATTTTGTTTTATTGTTGGTTTATTTATTTTTATTCCCTTTATCCAATTTCGGTGCATGTTCGTCTCTTTAGTCATTTCATCATCAATGGATTGAGATGATATCATAAGATGATATCAACGGATTGAGGGTTTAAATGTCGTTGTCCACGTGTCATTAATAGTTCAGGATTAGGTTTGTAACCGTTGACGTGTCCACCCTTTATGAATTATTATAATACTCCATAGTAATATTGCTTATCATCAACTGGTGGATATAAGAAAATTGACTTTTACCTGACTCACTCTGTTTTTATTTAAGCATTTCAGTTTGATATTTATTGTCTATATAATTCGTATAAGATTAAATATAGTGATGTTGATATTTGTTAAAAATTTTATATTATTTACAAGTATACAATATTCATAAATTAAAAAATTTTAAGTCAAATTTCAACATTGGCGATTGTGACGATTAAATTAGAAAATTAAATAAATACAAAGGGAGTATGTAATGTGATGAATTCCTAACTTGAAATTGAATTATATGGAGTCGAGTATAGTTTATGAGTTAAAAATACTTGATAGTTTATTTTGGCTAATTTAAGTGACTTGCCACACACCTAAAAATGACCTGAGCCAAAATAAATACATTCAAACAATATCTTGCATGTGATGTACAAGTATCAATCAGTGCTTGGTCTTATGCCCAAAAAAATTAAGCAAACAAATTTGCCAAAAAAGTTAGATATTACTCATATTAGCAGATTTGTAAACTTTGTTTAATTTGCAGCTATTTTCCACTTTTTAGAATTATATTAGAACAATTTTGTTAGAAAAACAGCTTTTACAAAAATATTGATTGTCTTCAAACAACACAAGTGTGATTCTAAATCGCCTATCAATTATAATTGTAATAACCATATTTTTACCTTTGCCTTACTAAATGGTGAGATTAAGTACTCCATCCGTTTATAAAAAGAAAAAAAAAAAAAAAAAATATTCAGTTCGAGATTAATTAGCTGTGGATTTTTTCTTGTGTTTAGACTGCTTTAAAAAGTCTAAACATAATCTTGACACGGCCCAATTATTACAATAGTTCAGCCTCTAGAAACCCGACTAGAAAGTGTGACACAAATCACAAAATTACGCTTTGAGCAACTTCTTTGGCATTGTACATACATGCTGCCTACCAGTCAACTCTAAATTTCATGTAGTCAAGTCAAAGATTTTGAAAGTGCTATACACTAATCCACAATCATCAACATTTAGATCACCAAGTAAGATATCATTAATTATATACGGAATATAAAAAAAAATTATACTCGTATTAAAAAAAAAAAAAAGGATTATAGCTTTCAAATGATGTTTTGGCCAAAATCAGTACACAACTACACATACATATAACACCCAAAATAAACGTGACATGTAATAAGGTTGTAAAATGCAAGTATTATTTTATGACAAATGATTGATATAGAATACTCCCTCTATCCCATAATACATGACACAGTCAAACATTGCACATGTCAATACACTAGTTGGACTTTATTTTCATATAATTAAATATTAATAAAAATTATTTCTAAAATTATATTATGGAACTTTATATTAAAACCTATCTTACAACAGATTATATGATAAAATATATTTTTATTATATTAGTAAAAAATTATGGTCAAACCAAATAATAAATAGTGAAAAAAAATCAAACGTCTTAATGTCTTATATCTTATGGGACGGAGATCGAAAGTAGTAATTTATTTACTTTTATGGATGAAAATATAAAATAATGTCATTTTACAACCGAATATAAGATTGACAAGTATACGATCGGTTAAGTTATTCATCCATGCATTATGTCATTGGAAAAAATTTGAGAAAGTTGAGTCAAATTATTTTATTTTATTACAGTAAAATGATTGCTTCTAGAACCCAATATTTTGAGTTGTAAAATGGTTGGATTTGGTTTCAACTGTAAGTTTTTGACGCAGCCAAAAAGAAACATAACATATCGTATGTATACGTAGATGAAGTATAGAATAAAGTGTGATTACGGCGTTATAGTGTTAGCAGATCCAACCATAGATTGACCATCTAACTACCAACGACAATAGCTTAATGCATGCTACTATATCATTAGATTGCCTTAGTTTGTTGCATATTTATTTATTTATTTATGAAGTATTTATATGTTGTTTGAAACTTTTTTTTTTATTATTATGATCTAGGGCATGTTCTCTTCAGGTTTAATTTCAGTTTAGTTTAGCTCATTTCAGTTTCTAATATACTTTTCTCATAAACAATTCTGTTCATTTTAGTAAATCAGAATGGGCCCCTACTGTCTGTCCCCTTTTATTTGCTTCAAAGAGAGGAGTTACATTTTTTATTTTAAGTTGACTGAGTTGATGAGAGTGAAGAATGGTAGGGGTAAATATAGTGCTCGTGAGAATAATGCTTAAAAACCAACGACCTAACAAGCAAATTGGAGAGTTTTGTGTGATAAAACTAGCAAAAATTATGACTTGAGCTTCTTTCTTGATCAAACTACTGTCAACAATACAACATGGTGTTTATGAGAGAAGGAAATGAAGAAAAAAGAATTTTCTTTTTAAGAAGAATAGAAAGAGATTGGGAAAAAAAATACTTATATATAAAAAATACTACGTATATTATTGGTCGACACCTCATATACCTTAATAATTTAAGTACTGAAAGAGGTTTAAAACTAATTAAAGTATAATATCACATTTGTACTTAACAACAAAAGAACAGTTTTTTCACTAACACAAGTCTATAGACTATTTTTGAAAGCCATCCAACATTTATGAAATCAATATAACTTAATTTATATTATAAAAAAGCAATAAAAAAAGATGTTGCTCTCCATTACATATACATACCATGATAGTGATGATACCACCCAAACAATAGCTAGCCATAATTTCCACGAAATCAAAATTAGTGGTTAACAAGCAATCAATTTGATAGTGGCACTAATTATAGTTTAATTAATCACCCAATTTAATTACTTATCTATTACAATCTATCTATACTTTATTAGTATTTTAAAAACCAAACCAAAAAAGACATATGTCATCATTTTCTTACACTTCCCTATCATCTTCTTCAACTCAATGTGCCACATGTCATTTTATATTTTTTATTTTTAATTATACAACTCTTCTTAACTTTTTCATTAAACACTTTTTCTTCATCTTCCATCTTTAATTCAACCTTTTTAATTTCTCTCTTTGATTTTAATCCCTCAATCTTCTTTCTATTAATTCTCATTTCAAATAAAAGTCCCAAATTTTTTATTTCTTTAATTATGTTTTCAGTTATATATTACACTCATAATTATTTATTGGCATTTCCTCACTCATCTCTCAATGCAATTTTCTATGAACAAGCCGTGCATTGCACGGATTAGAAGGCTAGTTGCTTTTAATTAAGTTGGCCACGATAATGAAGTAAGCTTTAGAATTTTCTCTCCTTTCTCCATCTGGCAACATAAAATCCTTCTTCTAAGTCAGAAAAAACAGACACATTACAGCAAAGATGATTAGTGTAACGTTAATGATGATGAAATTACGCTATATATCTAATTAGTCACACCTTAATCATTGATTAATTCAATTTATAATAATTAAGATTATGATTATCAATTTATTCATCGTATTTTATAATGTTTGCATGTACGTTAATCTACGTATGCCGTCCTTTTCTTATACCGTACCCAATATTTCTAAGAAATGCATCATTTTTGTGTTGATGAATAAATCACTAATTAATTAAAATTGTGTTATGGTAAATGATTTATGAATAACAAAAATGATGAAAGCATGAAGCATGACTTGTTTAACTATATACGTTGTATTTGTATTTGTAAAGTTATGTAAGTTGCTAAAGTCAAGTTGAATTTTCCTTCCTATGTTTAATTTAAGCTTATGACGTAACTAGCTAATTGCCTCTATTATCCATTAATACGATTTTTATTTGAGCTTATAATAATGATCGCAATTTTTTTTTTCTGTATAATTTTTTTTATATGTAATTTTATCAAATGATCCCATTAAAATTATCAAATTAAATGTATTTTGACTTTGACAATTTTATTTATTTATTTTTTTTAATTTTAATAATGCTACCCATTATTTTTGAAACACTACTAATTTTAATTGTATAGCATTACCCGGATATATATACTAGTTTAATTTTTAAACTTGTACTCGTAAATACATTAAATAAGGATCTGGATCTTACAAATATTATCTTAATTTCGGAGTTGATTATCCTTCTTGAAAATGAGTTTTTTAAATTATATGTAAGGGCTTGTACTTTTATTCAACATTACTTAATGATCTATTGATTAGTAGAGTAATCTTAATATTAAGAGTGTGTAAACGTACTCTTTTCAACTGATTTTTCTTATTTGAGCTTATCATCTTATCTTAACTTGTTAGAACTTATAAAAGGTTATACTTCCTGCGTTTTTCAATATTTGCATCAATTGACTTTATAGACTATTCTTATACTATTTTTGACCATATTTTACCCCTAACAGTTGTTGAGTTGATCTCAATTTATATTTTCAAAATATAATTTTTTTTCTAATTTTTTTTAAAAGGCATAATAAAATAAGTTAATGGTCATAAATATGTATAGTCGATTGATGCAAGTATAATAAAATATGCAAGTATAATAAAATATGCATGTATAAATTAGGTGAATAGAATAGGGCCGAAATCTGATATGTGATATAAGAATTAAGATTAGTGATAAGGTGCATGTTGCTAATCTTATTATACATTTTCTTTCCCTAATGTATTGGGCTTTTATGAGTTGGAGTTTGGACTTCATATGGATCAAGCCCACGTCAATCAGCTCACTACAATTATTCAAAAGTACCAAGCCCAATGCCTCCATGTCTTCGGTACAAGTTTTCCTTAGGCGCATACATGTTAAAAAAAATAAAAACTTATAACTATTCGTTTGGCATCGCTGTGGTTTTCTTTTTTTGGTTTTTTGTTTTTTAAAAGTATATTATATATGTCACATAATGATAAAAAATTATTTAGACTTATTAAAATCATGATAACTTTAAAAATTGACAACAGAAAGTGGAAACACCTTTTTCTTGTTTCTTGCTTTTGATTTTCAGTTTTTTTTTTTTTTTAAAAAAAAGGAAACTAAAACAAAAAAATGATGCTAAACAAAGCATGACATACAAGATAATTTCTCCATCCCTAAATAAAAATCTCATATCTTTTTGGCATAGAGTATTATGGAGTTTGAAGTGGAACTATAATGGAATATTATTGTTGATTAAGGGCCCATTTGGGTTGAATTTATTAGGTGAAATGTTCTAAGGTTATATTTTATGGGCTTAGTCACATACTTGGGCTAATAAATTTGAGCCAAATTTTTTCCTCTCAAATAGAGGGTAACTAAGTAATCCCCGAACAACTAAACAAAGCTTGGTGTAGTTGGTAGGGAACTCACCTTGTGAATTTGAGGTTACAAATTAGAGCCCCATTAACTACAAAATAATTGGGAGTAGGGAGATTCCTTATCTCCCCCCCCCCTCTATTCTTAAGTGTCAACCTACGAAGCTGGGCTGGCTAAACTTTAAAGAGGTGCCAATTTGGTAGAGTTTTTCATCTTACCTTTTTTTTTAAAAAAAAAAAAAATAATCCCTGAACAAATGGTTGGAAGTTTGATTTATTTATGATTATAAATCCTTATTTAAAATTTGTTATTGGTCTAATCCTTGTGTTGTTGTATTCACAATAAATTTTGAATAGTTAAGAGTGTGTTGAAAAAATGGTAACAACTTTACAATTTTGTTAAAACAGTGTGAATTAATTAGATGAGGCAGATACTTAAAAAAAAGGTACTCCACAATTAAAAGAAGTAAGGAGGCTCTATGTTTGAGGTAGAGATTTGTATTAACAAAGTCGTGTTTGACAAGGTAGTGGTTCGGACAGCGGTTAGTAGTAGAGGTAGCGTTTAGCTTAACAAACATTAAAATTAGTAGCGGGTAGCGTTTGTCAATTTTTGGTTACCTTTTAAAACAATATGGATGAATTTAATGTATTTTAGTATTGCTACCGCTACTTTTGTCAAACACTCATGTTATCAACCGTTACGTTACTTTGACAGCTAACCTCTACCCATGCCACTAGTAATTGACAGCTACTCACTACCCTAAAAGCTACCCGCTACTAGATCGCTAAAAGTTACTTGCTAACGCAAGTTTTTTCAAACAAGACCGGAGTACAAACTAGCTAGGGAATTTGATGTTTGGGAAGGAAAATAAAGGGATTTAAGAGGGAAAATATAAAAACTCCTTAAGGGGGCGTTTGGTTCGCAAACTGGTATGGGTCGGAATCAGGAATGAAACCATAGTGGTATGGGTTTGGAACTCGATTCTTAATACCATATGTTTGGTATGATTATGGAATGAAATTTTTTTCTATTGTTTGATACCTTAAAATATGGGAATAAGCCAAACCCACCTCCCTCCCCTCCCCCCCAAAGGTTTCTAAACCCCATACATTGGGGGTTTGAGGTATGAATTTAAAACTCTTAAAATCATAAAACAAACATAAGGTATGGGTTTAAACCATTCTAAACCTATACCTTATATCTTAATTAAGTGAACCAAACACCCCCTAAGTAGCTATTGTTTTAGTATAAGATATAGATGTGCTACCATTCAGTTTAACCTATCCAATGCTAACCAAAACCTTTAAAAACAGAAGTTCATGATGGTGCATAATGTATATACTTATAAAGTTTATACTAAATTCACTAAAAATAACATTAATATGCATATAACATGAATAATAAGACCACAACATTATCATAACCTCTATAGTGTCTAAATTTAGATCCTTATACATGGACATCACAGAGGAATTACAATATAAATGACATGAAAATTCAAAGTTGCCTTTCATTATTGCCAATCAAACAAGCGTAAAGCTCTCTATGAAAGCAACTACTAGGCTCACCATTAATCAACCCCGAGTTTCCTTCCTCATCACATGCATATGAATTTGATGTTGAGGTTGAAGCAACTAACATTTGGCGTACATTTTCTAACTCTTGGTTAAGCCTTTGAACTTCCTTTTCAAGCCTTTCATTATCAATTAGCACACTCTCAAGCCTTTGTTGGAGGGTTGCATAGCCCATCTCTAGGCTTTGGCTCTTCCACCTAGCCCTCTTGTTTTGGTACCATATTGCAACTTGTCGCGATGGAATGCCTAATTCTTGAGCCAAATGGAACTTCCGGTCCATGTCTAGTTTCCGATCCAACTTGAAGCTAGCCTCTAAGAGCCTAACTTGCTCTTGGGTTAGCCTCTTGCTCGTGCATTTTGGTTGTGGGTGTTGTTTTCTGTTTTGAGAATGTTTAGAGGAGTACATATTATAGCTAATACTCCTATTTTTGATTTGTGGCTTAGCTACCTCTCTTTATTGTACTTGTTAATAGAGCTTTGTGAGTTATAGACTTATTTTTAAAAAGTTGGTTATACTTTATATTGCATTTATACTTTATATTGCATATCAAATGGTGTTGTTCTTAATTAATTATGTGCGTGCAATGGTTGTTTAATAATTTGAGATGGATTTGTTAATAAATTAAATTGTCTAAATCTTAAGGGTTAGTGTAGTTTCATTTTCAATGAACAGCGTTATATTTCACGTGGGATTTAGGCCCACTTTTGACAATTAGGAAGGACACATTTCTTGTTAATTGTTTGACAAGATATTATAATACCTATCTTCAATGCCCTTTCAAGGTTGCAATTAATCAAATTTTTTTTTGCCATTTAAGGTGAGGTGATAGTATATTCCTTTCGTCCCTTAAAAATATTACTCTGTTTTTTTTTAATGTACGTATAGTAATACTACTTTTACTCATGGAGTACTCATCGTGTTTTCGAAAATTTGATTCATTTGTAATAGACTCTATCTTACTTGATCGGTTATGTACTCCCTCCTTATTTTGAGTGAAACAGTTCGACTTTCTATATTCATCTAATCTATTTTGGCAAATGTTAGTGGTTTATATATAAGAAAAAATTGGGCATTTATGTATACTTGTTATAGATTATTTGTTTCTAATAATTGACCCTAAATCGAAAATTGTAATTCGTATATTTTTATACTCCATAATATTGTTCGCCTCCATGTAATAATTTTAATAAATACTAGTAATTTAAGAAGTAATACTTGTATACAGGCGTACAACACATGTATTGATGTACATATACGCCAAAAGTTGCTGAGTACATGTCTTGCAAAGTGTTTAACCAGTTAAGGTGGTGGAATAATGAAAACTAGGAACATATGGTCTAATGTTCAAATATCATGATTATCCATAAATTTTCCCTATATCTCGGTGATTTATTTTTCCCTAAACAACTTAAAAGAAGAATGTCATGTAATTAAGGTGTTGGTTAATTTAAGTCTCTAGTGTAGTATGTATCAATTTGCATTTGCAACAACCAAGTTATGCTTGGTCTAGTGGTAAGATTGTCACCTTTCAACCTTGACGTTGGGGGTTCAATCCCTATTAGAGACACTTTTGAGGGTGGGGATCCCTTACCCTTCTCTCTCACTTTCAAAGTGTCTGAGCCGTAAATACCGGGAAAAAAAAATCACGAAGGTTGAGGTACAATCAGGGTCTTTCTCCTTACCTTCAAAAAAAAAAAAAAAAAAAGCATTTGTAACAACTTGCTCTTTCTGTTCTCATTGTAATAAAGCAAATGCCCTATATAAAAAAGAACCAATAGGTATATATATCCATTTTACAGTTGCCATACAATTAGTTAACTAACTTGCAATACTATTCTTCAATCATTTTGCATTTCACTATTTGTAGTTTTTAGTGAAAAGGACGTACGGGATTAGTGAAACCTTTTTTTTTAATAACAAATTAGCTAACAATATATGCAGGCTGTATTTGGTTGTTATGCAAAGATGTGATGGCGGTCATTGTATGTTCCTTGTCGTTTCTGTTTATAAAGCTCGGTGGTAGGGGCGGCCGGGCCGTGGCTGGGGCAGTGGAGGTTTGGCACCTGCTAGCCAGCACATGATGTGGTAAACAGTAATAAAATTAGAAGAAATACTCTATACGCCTATGTTGCTCGGACAAGGAGAATATTCTACGCTTATGCTGCTTAGGCTCGGTGTCATAAATGATGCATGAGGTAAAATGAAGAGTTCAAGTAACAAAACTATATGCACAATGAAATTACTATAGAAGTTTGCATTGTCCAATTTTTAAAGCAATTGTGTCAATTTAATGACTCGCATTCACTCAATCTCCAATCTTGTCGAAATCTCGGTTTGTCTACAAGTATGATGCAAATCATTTTTTAACCTATCGAACATGATTTAGTCAGATATTGTATAGTGTCACTTACCTAAATTGGGCTGCAAAATCAAGAATCATCAACCTTTCAAATCAACATACCAACTAGCCATCGTTTATCATGGGCCAACAACATTAATGAAGGAGCACCTACTAGGTCATGAATCATGGGTTTGGATTATTTTAATCTTTGTTTTAATCAATTTTTAATATAAAATTTAGAGAAATTATACTTCATTCATATTAAGCAAATCCCTTTATTTTGAGATAGGATTATTGAGGGATAGCTTAAGTGGTTAGAGTTTCCTCCTGATTTCAAGAAATCTTGGAATTGATTCTCACCCATGCTTTTGTGGCTCTCTAAACACCAAAAAAAAAATTAAAAAAAAAAATAAAAAATCTAGTGAATTAAGATGTCATCTACTTCCTTTGGTTTGTTTTCATACGAAGTAGCTAGGAAGATAGTGAAACAAGTGAGTTTTTTTTTTTTTTTTTTGAACGGAGTGAAACAAGTGAGTTAAATATAAGAAAAGTAGAAGAAGAGTTTCATGTGGAATTTTTATTGTATGATATTTTTTATTTTTTTTGAAAGAATTTTTATTGGATGTCAATCGATAAATTACAGTAATAATAATTAGATTAAATAAGAAAAAAAAGTGTAAGCAAAAAACCTCATTGAATTCCTTTTATATAATAAAAAAATAATAAAATAAAAATAAAAAACCTCATTGTTATTTAGATGAAATGCTACAAGAGGGGGGTGAATTATAGTATGGAGATTGCTAGTCACTTTTTGTGGAATTAAAAGAAACTTAACGCAATAGAGAAATAGTGCAAGAGAGATTTTACGAGCGAGAAAAACTTCCTAGGCCAAATAGGAAGTGAAAAACCTCGACCCAAAGGGATTTTGACTCAAAATATTCCACTAAAATAGGCCAACGACTCTGTTACAACCTATGAGGAACTTGAGCCTCTACCGAGTTCCTCAACGAATCATATCCCCAAGAACTATTCCCTCTAATAGTTGCAGCTCAAAATCTTCCCTCAAATACCTCTCTTCTCACTCAAGACTTCCCTCAAAGCCTTACTCTTTCTCTTTCTCTCAAGTTTCACTCAAAGCTTTATCTACATACAAAGAACTCACTCAAGTTCTCACCCTAATACAAGACTTCACTCAAACCCTTATAAATTTCCCATTACAAGAGTTCACTCACACCCTTAAACAACTCTCAAATACATATAAAAGATATAATGTATAAAACTAATATGTTGGACTTTTTGAGATATGTAAGGAACTTGGAACCTGGAGGAACTGGCTCACCAATGTGGAAAGAAAATATTTTTTTTTCTACTGCTCTACCACTAGGGACAAACTCCATTATGGAATGACTCACTTAAGCTAGACAGTTTGGAATGAATGAATACATGTCTTTTTATAGTGCTTTAAAGACAAACTTCATTCATCCCATGATCTTTAACCATAATAGTAGTGCTTCCTAAATTCTAAGTATTATCTCCATTAACTCCCTGGACATAAAAAGTAATGGAAGACATGGATTGGAGTCAAAAACATTTTCTTCATAATCTCCTTATTTTTCTCCAAGTAAAAAGATGTTTCAAATTAAACGTGAAAAACTATTTTTATTTTTCCAAAAACTTAATAAATAAGAATAGAAAATATAAAATAATAAAATTCTAACCAAATCAGATTTTTATCAATTAAAAACTGATTCGAATTTAATTCATTCAAAATAAATATTTTATAAAGATATTCTATCCTAAAATAGCTAACCCATTTAATTTGAAATATTAAACTAATTAGAGATTAAATAGGAAACAACCTAAAACAAATCTCTAAAATATAGGAGAAGATAAGGAGAATAATTATCTTTTTGACTAATAAGAAAATCAGATTTTATTTTACAAACTTATCTTTTATAAAATAAAATCTATTTAAAATATATAATACCAAGTCAAAACTAACTACCTAGAAAGTAGGCAAAGATAATGCAATGACTATTAACGTTGAAATCTGACTTTTAGTACTGTGCAAACTCGTGTTTCTCCTATACACGAATTTCAGACTAACCCATAAGGAACTGGCAGGTCAGCAACACCCAGTTCCTTCCAGACTGTCAGTTCCTTCGAGACTGAAGTTCCAATTTAGTTCCATAAGCATGTTCCAAATAATTTCTCGTGTCCAATGATGTGTCCAATTTATATAGAATTTTACCCCCGTCTCTTGGTCATAATTAGTAGTATTTTTGGCTCTTTAGAGCCACTTTTATTACTAATTGGTGTTTTCTAGTGTTTTTGTAGTTTTGTAGAAAATTGCACCTTTGGAGCGTTTCCGGGTTTTTCATGGAGCAACTACGGACATTAGGAGAACACGACCATCTTTGAAGCCCAGGACCGGTTAGAGCCGGTGATTACGGGCTCGGTGTGTGATACCGGGGCATTTGGACCAAGTATTCAAGACCCGAAGAGGAAATCCGGATTGGGCCGAAGAATCAAGCCCAATTGAAGTCCAAGCCTCGAGGAAAAAACCGAGCCCGATCGGGCAAGCTTACGCCCGATTGGGCGGGCGCGCACTCAGGTGCGAAGAGAAAGGCGCGCCCGATCGGGCGCAGCTGCCCAGAAGAAGTGTGAAGAAAAAGGCGGGCCCGATCGGGCGCATGTTTTTGAGGGTCCTGATTTGTCGAATTCTTAGTTTCTAATTAGGATTCTTTTTAGAGTTGTTTAAGTTCGATTTTAGTACTTAATTTGTGTTTACCTTCTCTTTTAGACTTTCTCTCTCTACTTAGATTATTTTCTCTCTCTAGAATTCTCTCAACTTTGTTTTTGCTCAACTTTGTAGTTCCATTGATTTTGGTAACGATTTCTTCTCTATTAATTTAATCAGTTTTATTTCTTTATTCTC